ACCGATTCTCCGGTCAACGCATTCACCCTGGTAAAGTGGCAGGGTGGGCGCTCACCGATGAGCTGCACGCCGCCGTCACCCAGCTCACACTGGCGGATCGCCCCCTCCGAGTGGTCGATTCCTTCAAGCTCGTCGGGAGTTACATCAACGCCGAGGCAGCGCCGGCTCCAGCCGCGCTTAACCTCACGGCCACCGCAGACGCCCGTGTGCGGAGGGCGACTATCCGCCTGCCGCGCATTGGCAAGCTCCCGTCGCCGATGCTTATAAAGGCGCGGCACGTCCGATCCCTGGCCGCCAGCGTCTGCACCACGGGCACCGACATCCAAGCACCATCAGGCCCAGCCAAGACTGCCTACAACCACGCCCTCAAGGCGGCTATCCGCCCCAAGGGGAACAAGTGGGTCGAGTTCTGGACTCTCATGGCCGTGTGCGTGCCGGGACACGCCCTTGAGATCGACGCCATCACGCAGCGTGAAGCATTCCTGTGCCTGCGGCGGCAGGTTAACCGCGACGCCACACTCTGCGGGCTCGCCAGAGACCTCCATCACCACGTCCAGACCCTGTTTGGTGGAGGACCCGTCGGGCGACTCGTCCAGTCACTCCAGCAGCTCCGATGGACCTGGCCCACATTTGGCATCATGTACGATGACTGGGGCTGCCCGATCAGCTGGCTGAATCTACCCCAAAACGCCTTCCTGCACATGCTGCGGGCCTCACAACGCAGGGCATTTCTGCGGAAGATCAAGCCACGGCGACACGACCTTGGCTACCTCGCCTCGGTCAGACAGGGCCTTGACCTCTTCGCCAGCACGTGGCTCGCGCGAACCAAAGGAGCAGCCAAATGCACTGCCTGGCAGCTGGCGCTCCTCCTGAACTACCTGTCGGGCGGGGACCACACCCAACAGCGACGATCCCGATCCAACACGTCGGCAGACCCCAGCCCCATGTGCCGCTACTGCGACGAGGAAGAGGAAACTCAGGAGCACACTGTCCGCGACTGTAAGTGCTGGGCCCGAGAAAGAGTTCCTCTCACCACCCTCATCAGTGACGACCAGTGGGCCCGTCTTCCGCCGCACACAAGACACTGCGGGCTCTTCGACGAAGACCCAGCCCTCCTCGACCTGCAGGCCGACCTCGCGAGGGACCCGCTGCCACAGCCCATCCCGCGGCCCCCCCCTGAGGGTGATCCTGCGGCTTCAGCCCAGGACACCTACACCACCTACCTTGACAACGACACTGGATGGACATGGGTCTATGCTGCCACGGACGGTGCGTGCACCAACCAAGCCATCCCACTCCTAGCACGAGCGGGCTACGGCGTCTACTACGGCATCGACCACCGCATGAACTACAGTGCACGCGTTCACGGCCTAACGCAGAACGCCCAGGTTGCGGAGACCCTTGCCATCGTCCACCTTACGGCGTGTGCCGAACGGCCCGTGCACGTCTTCGTGGACAACCAGGCGGTGGTCGATGGGTTCCAAAGCATCATCGACGGACATCCAGCGCCGCAGGGCACGCACGCGGAGCTCTGGGCAATGATTCACCGATGTGTCATGGCCAAGCCCGACATGTTTCGCGTCGAAAAAGTCGCCAGCCACCTGGGAGACCTGGGCATCGACCTTGGGCTCATCGGGCCCATCGCGGAGGAGTTCAACCGTCAGGCCGACGCCCTTGCCACAGCGGCGGCACGCACGCACAACCTCCCCGACGACATCGTTGAAGCTGCCAAAACACGACATCGCCAAGCGACCGTGCTTCACGGGGTCGCTGTCGCCATCTACGAGCGCAGACACCGTACTCTGCCGCTCCCACACCGCAGGGCTGGGTTTACAGCGGCTGAACTCAGCAAAATGGAACCGAACCCCCTGCTGTCGGACCAGGCACCACCCGCGGCTGGACCAGACATCCCGCAGAACCCGGACGAGCTCTGGGCCGAGGCCCAACGGGCGATGTACGACGAACAGGAGGACGACCCGTTCGGCTTCGGCGGGGGACTAGACTTCCTGGACGACGGGCCAGCCAGCGCCAACCTTGCCCCGTCGGGCATCCGCACGATGCCCACCTCGACTCCGCCACCGAGAGCGGCACCGCACCCACATGATGACGTCGCTCACCTCCAAGACGCCGACGAGGACTTTTATGATCCCCTCGGATTGGGTGGCAGCATAGACGACGTCCCGCCGACACCCCACGCTGCCGACGATGCCGCTTCATCGAGTCGCCACCCGGTCACGCGGCCGACCTCTGAGCCCTCGCACGGCATCATGATGGTTCCCCCCGTGCCACCAACCCCTTCCCCCCACCAGCGCCAGCCCGCGGGGGCGGGCGGCTTCAGCCCCCCCGCAGGGCACTGAACCAGTTAGGCCGTCGCGCCCCGTCCACGCTCCTACTGTTGCAGGCTGCGAAGCTGCGGCTCCTCCGTCCTCATGGGGCGTGGCCCCAGCGGCTTCAGCCCTGGGACCGCGCGACACCCTCCAGTCGCCTCGCCACGGCGACGGCCGCCAGCGCACGGACCGCCGCACCGCGCTGGTCCACCACCTGGCCAGGCGCACCGATGACCTCGCCCCCGCCGCGAGGCCCGCGGCCGTGGGCACAGAGCAGCCGCCCCGCACCGACCGCGAAGCCGAGCTGTCCCAGTCTATGGCCGCTCTCCAGCAGAGGTGCGCAGCTCTCGCCGCCGACCTTGCCGCTGCCCAAGCCCGTCAAGGCCCTTTGCTCCAGCGCCTCCACCGCGCCGGTCGTGCCTTCGCCGAGCTGCTTGCACCCCCGCCCGATGGTGCTGCGCCGCCACTCACCCTCCATGCTATGCTGTCATCGCTCCGCGGCGCTCCGCCTGGAGTCCCGCGCTAATCTCCGCCATTCTGCCTGCCCGTGTGCACGCGTGGCCCCGCGTCCACGGCGTCAGGGCGCGGGGGCGGGGGGTGCCCCGTCCCTGCGCGCCGCGCTGCGGCCAAGCGCCCAACTGGCGGTCTGCCAAGCCGCCTAGCCACGTGTCCGCACGTCGCCTTTCTTGTTGGGGCCTTCTTCGTCACGCGGTCTGACACGTGAGATCTTCACAGTCTGTCCGCCGTCCGTAGCTTCAGACGCAATGCGCCGGGGGAGGGGGTCTGTTGCCCGCCCTCGTATCTTAAGGCTGCACCGCCGCTAATAGTGTTTTGCGGGTTGTCGCACCGCAGTGCGCCTCGCGGACGGACCCTGGTCCGCCTACTTGTCCGGTCTCTCTCTCTCTCTCTCTCTCTCTCTCTCTCTCTCTCTCTCTCTCTCTCTCTCTCTCTCTCTCTCTCTCTCTCTCTCTCTCTCTCTCTCTCTCTCTCTCTCTCTCTCTCTCTCTCTTCGCCCGCGCGCGCCCATGTCCGAAGCTGCGGGCGCGGCGCCGCGCGGGCCCCCCGCGACGCGCGCCCGTCGCCCCGAAGGGGCCCCAGCGACGCGCGCGGGTCGTCCGCTGCGCGGAGCAGAGAGAGCTGGCTGGCAGATAGCGGGCAAGGCTGTGGCCGCCGAGCAGAGAGGCGGCGGGGGCGAGCGAGGCCCTGGGCAGAGCGCAGCGCGGAATTCCCGCGACGTGCGCTGGTCGCCCCGAGAGGGCCCCAGCGACGCGCGCGGGTTGCCCGCGGCGCGAAGCCAAACAGTCAGACCGTCGAGAGACGGCGAGGCTCGGGCGGGTCGCTTTTCAAGTCAAGCCTCGCGGATAAACTTGGTGAAGCCCAGCTCCCTGGCGAGGGCCGTCGCCTCCCTCCTGCGCCGCTTCGATCGCGTAGCAAACTGCTCCAGCTGCTTCCGCAATCCCTCCGGCGGCCCTGCCAGGAAGAACTCGATACGCGGCGCCCGCGTGAGCAGGAGGTCCTCGTGTCGCGTGGCGCGCGAAAGCAGCGCGTAGAGCTCCAGCCGCCAGTCGTCGTCCTCGGCGCCGCTCCATTGTGGCACACCCCTCACGCTCTTCGTGGCCCCATAGGGAGCTCCACCTAAGGTCCCAGTGGCGCAGCCCGCATGGCGGCGCCGCCCCATTTTGACACACCCCTCACACGTTTCGTGGCCCCATAGGGAACCCCATCTAGGGTCCCAGTGGCGCAGCCCGCATGGCGGCGCCGCCACTGTCTGGCACACCCCTCACACTTGTTGTGGTCCTATAGGGAGCTCCATCTACGGCCCCAGCGGCGCCGCCCTATTTTGGCATGGCCCTCACACGTTTCGCGGCCCCTCACACGTTTTGGAAACCTTTTCTCCGTCTCGTGGACTCTCGCCCTGGGCCGTCGGCTGTCCAGCGCGTTGCCCCCTCGGCCGACGTCGCCCAGGCGTGATCCTGGACTGCGGCCGCCACGAGGTGGGGAACGGCAGGAAGGAGCCATGCGGGCTGCGCCACTGGGACCTAAGATGGAGCTCCCTATGGGTCCACGAAACGTGTGGGGGGGGGGTCAAAATGGGGCGGCGCCGCCATGCGGGCTGCGTCACTGGGACTTCAAGTGGAGCTCCCTATGGGGCCACAACAAGTGTGAGGGGTGTGTCAAAATGGGGCGGCGCCGCCATGCGGGCTGCGCCACTGGGACCTTAGATGGAGCTTCCTATGGGGCCACGAAGCGTGTGATGGGTGTACCAAAATCGGACGGCGCCGCCATGCGGGCTGCGCCACTGGGACCTAAGATGGAGTTCCCTATGGGGCCACGAAACGTGTGAGGGGTGTGTCAAAATGGAGTGCCGAAACAGAGACATGCGGAAAGCAAAAGCAAGGAGGGGGAGGAGGGAGGAGGAGGAGGAGGAGGAGGAGGAGGACGAGGAGGAGGAGGAGGAGGAGGAGGAGGAGGAGAGGAGGAAGGAGACGCGGGGCACCATCTCTTCAAAACGAGGACCCAACACCACAGGATGGTTGGGACATTGACAAATGCTAAAGGATACTCCAGAGAAATCGGCCCCATACTATTTTAACTACTTCTGTATACTCCTCCTGTAGAGGGACACGCCCGACTTAACGGTGGGGCCGTCCGCCCCCTTTGCCCCCCGCGGGCTGGAAGTCGTGCGCCAGCACCTCCGCCCGGCCACACGACCCGCCGAAGCAGAGCTCGACCTGCTGGCGGAAGGTCCACAGGCACCCGACGAAGAACTCCTCGCCGCCGCTGGTGATGGGCCTGTTTGCAGCCACAACCACCACAAGTTGGAGGGGAGGAGGAGGAGGAGGAGGAGGAGGAGGAGGAGGAAGAGGAGGACGACGACGAGGAGGAAGACGACGAAGAGGAGGAGGAGGAGGAGGAGGAGGAGGAGGAGGAGGAGGAGGACCCCCACCCCCTCCAACTTCTGGCGGTGGTGGTGGAGGAGAACAGGCCCATCCGCTGAGGTCCGCGTCGGTCTCCGAGCCCTCCGACGTGTCCGCCACGCCGGTGCTGAAGACTTCGCTGCCGTCCGAGGCGCGGGCGCGCCCAAGGAGGGGGGCCAGGAGGGAGGGGGTCCGCGCGTCGTGGCCCGAGGCGCGCGCGCGCGCGGGCGACGGAGGGGGTCCAGGGGCCGCACTGACGAAGAAGAAGAAGACGAAGAAGAAGAAGAAGAAGAGAAGAGAAAAAGAAGAAGACGAATAATAATAATAAGAAGAAGAAGAGGAGGGGGGGCACGAAATCCTGAGAGACTCCCATGGCCCCGGCAATGATATCCAAACACACACACACATATGTATGCCAGGAGGCTGGAGGCGCGCATGGCTGGAATCATGCGTGGAACATGTGGAAGTCGCGCGCTGGGCACGCATGTGGAAGCACGGCCTACACGGACACGGAAGGCCCGAGCGCTGGAAACACCTGGTGCATCCAGCCTGCTAGCATAGAGGGGCCCAGAGACACACAAATGAATCTACACAGATCCCAGGATTCCCAAAATGTTTCCATGTGTTTTGGATTGTCGCCTTCCCCCTACACTTCCCATATTTTCGCAGATATTCATGGGAATCGACGATGAATTGTGTCTGTGTCTCTTTCCCCCTCCTGATAGCAGTCCTCACCCTTCTTTTCGATGCCCAGTGGCTCTCGGGGCAGATCTCGGGGCAACCCTGGAGAGCTCTCGCCGAGGCGCAGCTGCTGGAGAGCACCCCATGGCGAGAAGACCCCCAAGAGCCCACCAAAACCTCTGTTGGCGGCGCGCGCAGTGGTGGCGCGAGGGGGGGGGCTGCCTTCCAAGAGGACAGGGTGATCCGTCGAAGGCGGAGGCCTTCTCAGAAGCTCCTAAGGAGGCTTCTGAGAAGCTCCCGTGCCCCCTTCCTGAGCTGTACAGGAACGCCCCCGCCTTCTGAGGAGCACCCCGCCCTCTCAGAAGGCCGCCCCCCTCGAGCCACCCCCTCGTCCGCGGCCGCTGCCTCTCCCCCAGGAGCCACCGAGAGCGAGTATCGTTTAACCGATCCCTATCCCCAGCGGCGTGGCCTGGGCCCCGCTGGCCGACTTGCCTGGGGATACTTGTTTTCTTCGTTCTCTTCGGGGTTCGAGGGGTGTAAATCCCCAACTGGGGTGGTAATTTGGTGGGGTCTCGAAGGGGATGGAGATGGGGATGGGGATGGGTTAAACACGATACTGAGAGAGCGCCCGCGCCCCCTGCCCCGCCCTCTAGAGGAAAAAAAACTATGCACATGCACCGATTCTGGCCAGGCCCATCCTGAGCCCAGGATCGGTGCATACGCCCTCCTACCTTGGCCAGGAAAGCATATGCACCGATCCTGTGTCAAAGATGGGCCTTGCCAGGATCGGTGCATGTGCATAGTTCTCTTCGCCCCGCCCTCACCCCCCCTCTTGCACGCCCCCGAGAGGCGCGCAGCACCCGGGTGTCCTGGCCCGACCGCTCCACGAGCAGCGCGGGGCGCGCCGCCGGGCCGCCGGCCCCCGCGCGCCGCGCCGCCGCGAGCGCCAGGGCGGCGCCGCAGCGGCCCGGCGCGGCGCATCGCCGGCGCGCGCCGCGGCGGCCGCGGCGGCGCTCGGACTCCATGGGCGCTCGGGCGCTTGGGCCGGCTGCGGAGCCCAGGCCTGGGTCGGGCCTGCCCTCCCACACTGGGATTTTTTGACGACAGTTTAATAAAAATACTCCACAGAAGACCTCAAACAAGTAGCCACCAAAGGATGCTGAAAAGATCGTCCCCAGACCATGTTTTGACTGTTTCTGGAGATTCCCCCTGTAGAGGGACAGGCCCGACTCAAGCCTAGGCTCTTTGGAGGGTTCCCAGCACGGTGCGGCGCGGAGACTTCGGAATCCCCACCGCACGGTCCGTCACCGCACGGTGCTGGGAGGCCTCGGAGGCGCCAGTCGCCCGAGAGGCATCCTCGGAGAACGGCCCAAGTCCCAAAACCGTGGGGCCACTCCGAGTCCCCACTGACACACCATAAGGTTTAAGTAGGGCCTTTCCGCCTACAGGAGGAATATTCAGAAATAGTCCAACAAATAATATGGGGACAAGTTTTGAATATTATTTAATTATGTTGGGTCACCGTTTTAACTATTGTTTATTTGTCGTCCAAAATCCCCCTGTAGGAGGACAGGCCCGACATAACACAAGGTATGGTCACCGCAGAGGCTGGGGGCGGGCCGAGACTCTGTGCGGAGCACATCAGCATGGCACTGCTGACGGAACACACGCGAGGGTCACTGCCAAAGGGCGCTGGCCCTGACGCCAGGAAGGCCGCCTCCTCTCCCAGAGGCCTCCTAGATAGGGCCCGAGGATCGCGCCGCATCGCCGATGCATCGGCGATGCGGCTCGATGTGGAGCCTGACTTTCTCCACGCCGACTTCGTCGGTGCATCGCAAACGTCACCAATGCATCGGCGATGCATCGGTGATGTATCGGAAATGCGACACGGTTCTCCGACCCCATCTACGGCAAGTTCCTGTCGTACCGACTTCGTCGCTGGTTTCTAAAACCGCCGGGATCGTTCAACCTTGAACGATCGGCCGTTGCCAAAACGTCAGTGCGTTCAACATCGACCGATTCTGGGTCACTGGTAACGTTCAACATTGAACGCCGGCAGCGGGGCGCCGCCGGTCGATACGACGCGAACCTACTGTTCTCGGACCCCATCCGGGAGGCCTAGCTATCCCCTCCTGGTGACTCGTCGCCGCCTCCGTCGAGCCGCATCTGAGCTTCTTGCTGGGTGTGGGACCGACCGCCCTGGCATTCCTATAGGCCTACCACGACATGTTCTTGACAAGAGCGTTTTGAAAACAAAGACAATGTTCTTAGAACATGGGGCCGACGTATTGAAACAAGACGGCCTCAGCCAGAAATGCTCTGAGAACACTTCGTGCAAAACACAAAAGGCTCTCAGAACATTCTTTGGTGGGCCTCCAGGCAAGCCGGGACGCTTCGCCACTGCTTGAGGAAGAGGACCCCCCGACGAGGGTCGACTCCGCCGCGCCCAGCGCGCCGCAACCGGAGGGCGCGGCGCATTCTGCGCGCGGGCTCTGCCCAGGAGAGGGGGGGACCCGGAGCTGTCAGTGGGGGTGGCGGCCCCCCAGGGTTCTGGAAGCGCAGGACGTAATACGGTCGGGAACTGCTGCTTAACATGTCGCCGCGGCGGCCCCTGCAACACGCTATGCCTTGCGAGCAGATGGCGTGTCGCTCCGCTCCGAGGGACGGGGGGCCTTCCCTCCTCCCCTCCCTGCCTCCCTCCTTTACTCCTTCCCTCCTTCCCTTCTTCCCTGCTGCCCTCCCTCCCTGCATCCCTCACTCCCTCCTCCTCCTCCTCCTCCTCCTCCTCCTCCTCCTCCTCCTCCTCCTCATCCTCCTCCCTCCTCCGCCTCCTCATTTTAGTTGACCAGACCTTACCCTTACGCGCGTTGCGTTCTAATCCTCCTCCTCCTCCTCCTCCTCCTCCTTCTCATCCTCCTCCGCCTCCTCCTCCTCCTCCTCCTCCTCCAGCCACGAGTCTGTCCCGCAAGCCCAGAGCTCGGTGATCGGGAGCCGGCAGACTCCTCCGCCGCCCCACAAAGCCAAGGGGGAGGGGTCTGCCGGCCGGTGCCTCTAGCCTCCGTTACATGGCAGCAGGAGGAGCATCCTCCTCCTCTTACTCCTCCTCCTCCTCCTCCTTCTCCTCCTCCTCCTCCTCCTCCTCCTCCTCCTCCTCCTCCTCATCATCATCATCATCATCATCATCATCATCATCAGCATGATCAGCAGCGCCATCGGCATCATCATCAGCGGCAGCAGCAGCAGCACCTCCATCATCATTACAATCACCAGCATCACCACGACCACCACCAGCATCATCCCCAACATCAGACACCTCGTAGCATCAAGAAAACCGTCATCGCAACAACCACCAGCAGCATCATCAACATCATCAGCATCATCAGCAGCAGCATCATAATCATAACCGTAATCCGAATCATGAGCAGCAGCAGCAGCAACACCATCATCGTCATCAGCAACATCAGCAGCATCAGTAGCATCATCTTATTCTCCATCATATGCAGCAACAGTTGCATCATCATCATCATCATCATCATCATCATCATCAGTATCACCCTCAGCATCAGCAGCAGCAGCTTCATTCTCGTCATCATCATCATCAGCATCATCATCATCATCATCGTCATCGTCATCAGCAACATCAGCTGCAGCGTCATCAGCATCATCAGCATCATCGTCATCATCATCCTCACCATCATCATCATTATCAGCCTCATCGTCAGCGCCATCGGCATCGCTATCGCCAGCATCAGCATCGTTATCATCATCAGCAGCATCATCGTCATCAACAGTATCGCCATCGTCATCGTGATTCTCATTAGACTCATCGTCATCATTACCAACAAAGACATCATCATCAGCTGCTGCTGCTGCAGCAGAATCATCAACTTCATCGTTATCCTCATCACCAACAGTATCAACATCATCATCGTCAGCAGCAGCGGTAGTAGCAGCGCCGTCATTGTCATCACCATCATCATCGGCATCATCATCATCAGCAGCAGCATCCTTATCATCATCATCAGCAGCATCGTCACCAGCAGCATCATCTGCATCATCAGCATAAGCTTCATCATCAGCAGCCACAGCATTAGCATCGTCGTCGTCGCCATTGGCATCGTCATCGCCATCGTGAGCATCAGCATCAGCATCATCAGCAACAGCATCATCTTCATCAGCAGCAGCAGCATTATCATCACCACCATCATCATCAGTATCATCAGCAGCTTCATATTCATATTCATCATCTTCAGCAGCATCAGCGTCAGCATCCTCATAAACGTTACCATCAACACCAGCATCATCAGCAGCATCATCACGATCAGCATCAAGACCAGCAACATCATCAGTATCGCCATCGTCATCGTCATCTTCATCAACATCATCAGCAGCAACAGCCGCATACGTATCTTTGTCATCATGATCATCATCCGAATCGTCGTCGTCAACATCCGAATCATCAGCATGATCATAATCAGTACCTTCACCTTCTACTTCATCATCATCATCAAAATAAACATCCTCCTGATCATCAACATCATCATCGTCATTATCATCGTCATCGGCATCGTCATCGTCGTCGTCATCGTCACCGTCACCGTCATCGTCATCCTCATCATCATCAGCAGCAGCATCATCATCAGCATCATCATCAGCATCGTCATCATCATCATCATCAGCATCAGCATCAGCATCAGCATCAGCATCAGCATCAGCATCAGCATCGTCATCATCAGCATCAGCATCAGCATCAGCATCAGCATCAGCATCAGCATCAGCATCATCATCATCATCATCATCATCATCATCATCATCATCATCATCGTTTTCCTCATGCGCAGAGCGCTACAGGCGCAGCCGCCTGTGCGAGCGCAGCTGCCCCAGATTCCACCGCTGCGGATGGCGCTGGCTGGGGAGGGCCACAGGGTCTCGTGGGGTCGGGTGGCAGCTTAGGCTTTCAGGACACGGGGGAGTGCGCTGCGGAGCACCCCGAGCCGACCGAACCCCGCGGACACCCTTGCTCGCCCCCCTTCGGCCCTGCTCAAGCCAACGGGGTTCCATTCTTCTGCTTCCCCCCTCCATTTCTCCTCGTCATGCGCGTCCTCCTCCTTTTCCTCCTCGTCATCCAACTCCGTCTGCCGTACTCCTCCGTCCTCGTAATCACCATAATCACCACATCTCCATCCTCCTCTTCCTCCTCCTCCTTCTCTTCCTCCTCTTCCTCCTCTTCCTCCTCCCTCTTTCGCAACGGGTCATCGGATGGTGAATTCGGCAAAACACGCAAAAAACAAAAAACATTATTGTGACGAAGGGCAGCCCTGTACCGGCGAACCCGCGTATGACTGCTGAGGTGAATGGCGTAACGGTCCATATGCAACGCTCACGCGCCTAAATTGTACTGTGTTGGTATGCTTTGCCATGAACCAAGTTTGCCTGTTTGCTTGAATAAGCTTTACTGAACGGCCCACTGGGACCTGGACCGGGCGCAGCAAGGACGTATGACAGCTGATCCGCCCCTGCGCGCAAGAAACTAGCCAGAGATTGAAACACTCTGAAACTAGCAGGTTGTGCAGCGAAAGCTCCGCTCCCTCGCTGGATGCTCGCGAGCTGTGCAGCGAATTGTGCAACGCGACTTCGGCTCGCTCGTTAGACCAAGCGTGCACACGCCTGGGGGCCCACGGACCGGAAACAGCTCTCGCGAGAAGCGCGGCGCGGACACCGCAAAGCCCGGAGCGACTGGCAAGCCCCCTTGGCGCGCTTCGGCGCCGGAGAGGCGCCACCAAGGGAGGGGGGCGCGGCGCCAACGCGTGAGGTCTGCGCGGGCCCCCGAAAACGCATAGTTCGGTCAGTTTCCAGCTGCACGCACGTGCCCTCAGGACCTCGGGTGCGCAACTTATCGATCGTTGCAGGCGATGCGGCAGTAACTGCCTGCGCGTTTTGGTTTGGCCCCCACGCGCCCCCAGGATGAGGACACCTCTCACCAGCCCTGCAGGGCGTGAGTGGTTCAGCGAGTTCGTCCTTCCAACCTCATGCTTCCCCTTTTGGGGAGGGTTTTACCCCTCCGCCCAAACACCACCCCTTGGGTCTGGAGGGGGAGGACAGCGAAGGGTTAGAACGTCTTGGACGGCCCTAGATGGCTCCCAGAGGGCCCAGATAGCCAAAGATGGCCTCCAAGATGGCGCAAGGTAGCTCAGGATGGCTTAAGATAGCCTTCGCCATGAATCCAAGAGGCCCCAAGGACACCCCAAGACGACTCCAAGTGGCCTCGGAGCCTCCCAAGGACGCCCCCAAGAGCACAACATCTGTCGAACACCTAATGAACATCAATGTGTGTGGACTTCTCGCCTTTTCGCTTCTGATGAACTTCTGAGGCCTCAAAATGGTTCCAAGATTGCCTAATTGAACCCCAAGAGGGGCCCAAAAGGGACCCAAGACTTTCCCAAGAGCGCTACGGAGCGCCCCAAGACACCGCCAAGAGGGCCGACTTTGAGGGCCCCTCCGGGGGGACGCAAATCCGCGCCGCCCCCTCCTTTTCGATGGCAAGAGGGCCCCAATGGAGCTCCAATGTGGCCCCAAAAGCTCCGATATCGAAACATTCGCGAAGGTTTTATGGTTGAATTGGGTCTCCTCTGGCTGATCCCGAGCTTCGCTTTTACGGCTGTCCCCCTACACTTCCCACGGGTCACCCTTGCGAAGGCTCACTCTCTAGCGTGCAGCCGACGTGTTTCGGAGGGAAAGAAAACGGTGACCATGACTCACGACCAAGACTGAGCGCGTAAGCGTCGGTACCGACCTTGGTCACGGACCATCTTGGTCACCGTCGAATCGTGGATGATCTTCCTCGGAAAATCGGCGACGGCCGCCAGGGACCATGACCAAGATCGGCGCCAACACGACCCCGCGACATCTTGTTCATGGTCAGCGTGCTTCTTCTGAACGCCCGAAGTGGGTATGGACAGACTGAGTGGGCGCGATGTCCAACAACTGCTGCCCAAAACCGACAGCGGACGCTGTTGGGCAGGGGGCCTGCCTCAAATGGACAGTGTACGCAGCGACGCCGACAGCGAACCCTCCTCAAAATGAGCAGGAACTGCTGTCGGACTTCGTACCCACTCTTTCCGTACCCACTTCGATCGTACCGACGTCTTCCCTCGATAGGGAGCCACACGCGAACCCTACCCCTACCCCCCGAACGAAGTGAACCCCACCCTCCCCCTCAGAAATCGTGGGGGGTAGGGGTCGGGTTCGCGTGTGGCCCCCGACTCGATGATTCCCCTTCCAGGAGGGCCCCTCTTCGAGCCCGGCCGAGAGGAGCGGCGCGGCGCGCGAGGCCCGAGGGCACGGGCGCCGATGCAGGCGCGGCCAGCGGGCGGCCGCGGCCGTGGCAGAGCGCGGGTCCGCCTGGCCACGGCGCGGAGGAATCCATTGCGGAAGGCTCGTCCCGCGACGAGCCCGGCGTTGGGCCCCGACATTGCAGAGATCTGGGGCGCACAGCGCCGCGCACCGCGCCCCGCGGTGCGCGACGCGCGGTCACTTTCGCGCCCTCACGCCGCCGCCCCGGAGAACGACGCCTCTCAAGCCCAAGCCGCGATGCGCGAAGCGCGATCGCCTTCCCGCCTTGAAGGTGACCAAGGAGATCGTTCAACCTTGCACAATCGCGCGTTTCAAAACATTCCAGGTTGGCCCGTTCTGGGCCACGGTCGGAGTGAAATCTCAAACACCCGCGGCGGGTCGCCGCCGCACCGACGCGACACGAGCCTGCCGCGTACATGTCTGCGCGCACCCGCGCATGCGTCCCTGCTCGCCCCTGGGCACCGAGCATCCACCGCCCCAACATCGCGGCAGCTCGGGCTATGCGGCACTGCAGTGAGGTAAGGCTGTGCTGCAGCCTGCAGCCCTCGGCAGAGGTGGAACGAGGAGAAAGAAGGGCGGGAGGAACGAGGGGAGGAGGACGCCAACTCCAGCCGGAGTGCTCTCACAGGGGAAGCTCGAGGAAGGAACGACGCCCCCGTCTGGGCATTCGTTCCGCTCCGAGACACGAGGAGCGCCAGGAACGTCGAACCCCCTCCGAAACCAAAGTGGGTGGTGTCAATACACACGCCCTCCTCCTCCTCCGCCTCCGCCTCCTCCTCCTCCTCCTCCTGCTCCTCCTCCTCCTCCTCCTCCTCCTCCTCGTCCTCGTCCTCCTCCTCCTACCCCTCCTCCCCCCGAACTCCTTCCGATCCAGGCCCAGAGTCGGTGCACACGCCGATCCTGGCTTCTCCTGGGCCCAGGGTCGGCCTGGCCAGGATCGGTGGAGTTGTGTGCAGCTGAGGGGCAGGAACCGGCGAGGGTTGCTGCGGAGCTCGCCGCCACGAGCAAAACAGGCGTGCAGCTGGCGTCCTCCAGCTCCCAGGAGTCGCAACCTAGCGAGGGGTGTGGAAGCGGAGGAGAAAGAGCAAGAGAGCAACGGAGGGAAAAGCTGTCGCCTGCCACGGAGCCGAAGCGGACCTGGTCAGCCGCACCCAGTATAAGTAGTAGTGCGCTGGCAGCAGGGCCTCGCCAAGCACTGCCGGCGGGGCCACCGCAGCTGACACGGGCGCGGAACAGGAAGATCGAGGAAGAGGGGTGGAGAGGAGCAAAGGAGCAAGCTCGCATGGAATGATCAGGGTCACCCTGTGCGGTGTGGGTCCTACCATTGCCCTCCAAGGTCAGCGTGGTGAACCGCATCCAAAAACTCGCCGACGCGCGCGTGCCTTCTTGCACACAGACCGCGCGGAGGAAGTGCGCACGCGGGCTTGAACAAGAACGCTGTTTTTGCTCGGATTGATTAGCCCCTGTCGCTGTCTTTAACGGTTCTATCAAGACAGAGGCAGGGCCTAATCTGGAAACTCGGTTCTCTTAGTCAAGACAGCAAGCGCACAGGGCGAAGGGCACATGTAATCAAAAACACTCTGGTGCCAGTGCGGCGGCTGCAGGAGGAATGCCCACAACAATCTTCGATCGAGAAGCCAATCGCTGGCCGCTGTGGGGCTGGCCGGGGCAGGGCGCCGTAAAGCTCGCCGGTGCGAGCATGGAGAGTTACCGTTGGTGGCCCATTAGTTCGAAAACGAGAACGGCGACGGAGAAGAAGAACAATAACAAGAAGACGGTGAAAAAGAAACCGGCGACGAATCCCCAGCCCCTGAGGCCCCAGCACGGCTGAGCTGTCAACGACAAGATGCGGCCACGCTAGTTGGCAGGCCTGCCTCGCGGAGAGACAAAGAAAATAGAGAGGGGCCGTCGCTCAGGGCGCCAGGCTCTGAAACTGTTATACGCTACTGTTCGCAAAAGTCGAATTACACGTGTCGCAAGCGAGGAGGGGAGGAGCGCGAGAGCGGGGCCGAGCCTCACTCAACGGCCGCCGCTGCGGCTCTGGCTGGCGCCGATCACCGCGCCAGACCCCCGCGGAAGCTCGCTTGCACGCCCGCGCCGCAGAACTGCGCCGGACTCGGCGGGCACCATTTCTGCACCTGTCGGGTCAGGCGAAAATGGGAATCAGCAAAGGGGGCTTGGCGGATCAGCCTATGAAGCTGACCTCGGCGGCGGCAATGTATCGAGGAAAGCGCCCAGCGGCGAGGCAAAGAGCCAGCTGCATGCAGCAGCTTTCGTACCCCCATCTCTTTCCCCTTCCCCTACCCCGCCCTCAATTGTCCGCCCCGAGCCTGGCCCCACTGGAACAGGTCCAGCTGGTTGGGCGGGTCGCCGCGCACCGCGAAGCAGGTCGCGACGCTGTCCACGAGCTCCTGCATGGCGGTCGGCGGCACCCGCATGCGGGCCACCGAGAGGCTGATGTTGAGCATCTCCTGCCTCGTGAGACCGCCCTCGGACACCTGCTCGGCCGCCTGGCGGGCCAGCAGCAGACCGAAGCGCGCCACGGGCTGCGACTTCTGCCTCCCGTACGACAGCGCGGCCGCCACGCCGGACAGGTCCTTCCAGGTCACCGCGAGGTTGGCGCGCTGGCCCCTGCCGTTGGCGCTCGCCATGCGCTCGGTCACCACCTCCGCGGCCGCCGAGCAGAAGCGGTCCAGTCGTCGACGCGCACGCAGGCCCACAGCATGTTCGGGGTCGACGCGCACGCAGGCCCACAGGATGTTCGCCACGGCCTGGGTCGAGTAGCCCCGCAGCTCCGTGCTGCAGAAGTCCATGGCGGACTCGACGAACAGCCGCCCCGGGGCCGCGGCGGCCTCTCCCCCGGCGAGGCCGAGGGTGGCCAAAGCCCAGGCGATGTTCGAGATGCCCTGGTCCGCGAACTGGTCGATGCGGCGCGTCGCCACCGAAGCCAGCCTCATCAGCATGCTGTCTACCTCCGTTGGCCTAGCCGAGCAGCGGCCGCCCCACGCTGGGATGCCGGAGGGGCCACCCGAGCGACCCTGCCTGTACAGCTTCGCGAACGACCACGCCGCCATCGACAGCTCCTGCGGCTGGAAGTCGCCGAGGCGGTGCGAGGAGGCCTCGGCGACCGCGACGAGCGCCGCCTGCACCGTGGCACTGTCAAGCGGCCCCGCGCAGACCCCGGCGAGCCGCAGCTGGGCGAGGGCCCACAGGACGTTGGCGAGGCCCTGCGGCGTGAAGGCCGCGAGCTGCGGCGCCGTGCGGAGCCGCGCGAGGGCCCTTGTCACGAACTCCGCCGCGTCCGGGCCCCGCACCTTGAGGCGCGCCATGGCCCAGAAGGCGTTCGCCAGGCACTGCGCCGTCAGCGCCTCCACCCTGCCGAGGCACCCGCGAACCATGGCGTGGCACGCAGCGACCACGGCCTCCGCGCCGCCCGCCGCGCCGCCGGCCGCTCCCGGGCAGATCCTGGCGAGGCCCCACAGCGAGTTGGTGAGCTCTGCGTCGGAGCACCCCGCCAGGAAGGCGGGGTACCTCGAGGCCGCCCCAGTGAGGTCCGAGTGCAGATGGGGTCGGAATGATCGCGCCGCCTCGTCGATGCAGTGCAGCGGCGGTGCATCGGCGGTGCATCGGCGTGGAGAAGTCGGGCTCCACATCGAGCCGCCTCGCCGATGCGTCGGCGACGCGGCGCGATCCTCCGACCCCGTCTGCTCGGACCCCGACTTGGTAGGCCTGGAGTACCGGCGGCAGACCTGGAACATGCACTCGTCGATGCCGTCCACGGGCGGGGGGCTGCCCGGGTGCGCCCGCGTGCCGAACTTCCCCAGGGCCCACGCGAGCTGCGAGAGACGGCTGCCGCCTCGGAGCTCAGCGATGCCGCCCCGTAGCCACGAGAGCAGCGGCGGCAGGAGCACGCCCGAGGCCGCCTCGAGCTGGGGCGCGCGCAGCCTGCGGGCGGCCAGGTGCAAGGCGGCAGCGACCTCCTCCGGGCTGAGGCTGGCCAGCTGCTGGAACGCGACCTCGAGGACGCCGCGCGCGGTCCTCTCGGCCTCCATCCTTGGCAGGGCGCGCACGGGGTTGGGGTGGCACCGCGAGGGGGGGCGGCCTCCTCCAGGAAGGCGGGGTGCTCCTCGGAAGGCGGGCGCCCTCTCGCGAGGCCCTGGAGGCCTCTGCGAGGCCTTCTGCGAAGCCGGCATGGCCTCCGAGAAGCCCCCCGACCTCTCAGAAAGCCACCCCCTCGCGCCACCCCCTTGGGCGCGCCGCCGGCGTCCTGCCGAGCGCGCCGACGGGGCCGAGGCCCAGTGCCCCCTCTGGGGCCTCTGGCTCCGCGGCCGGCGCGGCCGCCCGCGCGGCGAGGGTGCGCAGCGGGGGCTCGGAGCGGCTACGCCTCACCGCGCGTGTCGGCGGCTCCTCGGCGCCCGGGCCGAAGTCGTCGATGAAGGTGTTCCTCACCTGAGCGACGACGACGACGACGACGCAAGATGGCATGGCGGCCTCACGCGGTGGCTCAGGTGGGCCGCCAGCGTGGCACGTCACATTTTTAAGCGAGGGCGCTTACGCGCGACCTCATGCGGGCAACTTACGCGCCAGTGTCAGTGAAGAGTCGCTCACCTGGACCCTGTAGCGCTGGCCGAGCATGGCCGCCATCGGAATGTTGCCGCGGGCTGGTGCACGCTAGTTTCGGCGGGGCGCCCAGGGGGGAGGCGAGATGGGGCAGGCCTTCTCAAAGGCGGCGGGGCTTCTCGGAAGCCCTCGTGCCTGCTGAGAAGCCTGTTGAGCCCTCTCCGAAGCCGCAGACGGCTTCTCAGCAGGCGCGAGGGCTTCTGAGAAGCCCCGCGGCCTTCTGACAAGACCTGCCCTCTCCCGCTTCCCCCCTGGGCGCGCCGCCCACAGCTGGCCCAGGAAGGGGAACCTGCGAAGTCTTGACCCAGCTGACTTTGAACCAAAACGGCTGTGGAGGCGGCTCTGAGGGGAGCTTCTGGGAGCGCGCGTCCTGGCCCTTTGGCGCGTCCGAAACTTGAGCTCCGTTGGCTGGAAAAGCACCTGTCCGACCCGAGATCCAGCGAGCGGGACTCAGCCAGGCAGGTGGGAAACCATCCGCGGGCGACGCTTCCCTTCAGCCCTCCTTGAAACTCAGGGCGGCCACCCCTCCTCGGAGGGATCCCAAGGCCCCGTTGAAGGTGCACTTGGGAAAACTCGGACCCCCAATGAGAAGTATGAGAACGAAGCCACGAACACGAAGACGACTGTGTCCAACGGCACCTTCTGACACTGCCCAGCCTCCAGCGGGTCCGCACTCTGTACGACGCGGCCGCCAGAGCAGTACCAGGGCGAACGCCACCACCTGCGCAACCGTGCCAGATCGCAGACTTGAACTCGCCAGGTGCGCCGAGGGAGGCCGCAGAGGCAACCCCCTCGTGCACAACGGCACTGGTATGAGACAAGCCGCGTCGTGGGCAAGCATTCCATGATACCTCGACCGCCGCGTGCCGGGCCCGCAGATGCCGCATGGCACAATCGGCGCTTGCAGAAAGCAGGGGGGCCGGAAGGTGTCCCCGTCATCCACTCTGCCTCCTGGTGTCCAGGAGGGTCGGCTCCCAGGGCAGTGACGCTTGGCGGCGCGCACAAGGTCACAAGGGGGTGGGGGGAGGGGGGAGGGCTTCTTAGGAGGCTGTCTCTTAGAGGGCGCCAGCCCTACATCTACAGATAAGGCCCGCGCCTATATTATAGCGCCTTGTAAGAGTAGGGGTGCTTCTAAGAAGCCCCCGCCCTCCCCCCACCACCCTCTGCGCGTGGCTGAGATGTGCGTGAGCCCCACCCTGGAAACCAGGGAGGGTGGAGGGCCGCCCTGGCTCATGCGCCAGGGTCGCGCAGACCGAAGGGAGGGCCCCTCGCGCCCTCCCGACAGGGCGGCGCCAAAACCTGACGCCGGTGCCAGCCCTCCCGCCCCTCTCCCCAGACCTTCGGGCACACTCAAAAAGTCAGCTCCAGGAGAGCCGCAAAACGGCCCAAGATGACCCCAACCAAAACGCTCCCCGAAGCACTCCAAATCGAGACCCTCATAGAGGGGATCCGCGGCTGGCAGCAAGATGTCCCCAAGAAGCCCGCAGAGGCTTCCGAAAGGCTCCCAGGAGGCCGTGTGATGCCTCCGGAAAAGCATCGAATACGCTTCCAAGAGGCCCTCTAGAGTCTAGAAATCCTCGAGGAGCCTGCGCCAAACAAAACTGGGAAGGAGGACTTTATGGAGAAGGGCGAGAACGAGGAAGAAGAGGAAGACGGACGAGGACAACAGGGATACTGTATGTGTATATATACACACATATCCACCAGCCCCCTTGTGGGGCCATCAGGCTGCGAAGATAAGTGTGCTGCTCCCTGCACTAGTTGTAGTTTCAAGTCTCTAATGTTGCAGTCCTGCTTCTGCTTCCGAGTGTAAATTCTTGAAGTCCGCGCGAGGGGGGAGCCCAAAACCGTCCAGTTACCATTCCCGAATCGCGTGCTCCGAATTCCTGCGGGGCCGTGGGACACGTACAAATACGTGCGATTCGCGCTCCCGACGCAAAAGTCCTTTGTAAATTACGCTGTGTTCGCGTCCCCGAGGCCACGATCCCTCATACATTGCATCACATTCGCGCCCCCCGAAGCCACGATCCCTCGTGAAATACACCGTATTCGCGCCCCCGAGGCCACGATCTCCCGCAAACTACTGTACATTCGCGCCTCTGGGGCCACGATCCCAAATAAATTACGCCACAGTTGCGCCGTCGAGGCCACGATCCCTCGAAAAATTATACGCGATTCGCGTCCCCGAGGCAAGTAGCCCTCGCAAATTACTACATTTGCGCGCTCCCGAGGCAACACCCCCTCGAAAATGATGGTAGTCGCGTCCCCGAGGCCATTGACCCTCGCAACTTACGCACGTTTTACGGCCCCGTGGCAACACACCATCGTACATGATTCAATATTCGCGTCCACGTGACCGTAAACCTTCGCACATTACGCTGTATTCGTATTGCCGAGGCCAAGAGTGCTTCAGGGCGCCAGAAGATGGTTCCAAGACGGCCCAACAGGGCCCCAAGAGGCCCCAAGAGCGCTCCAAGCGGCCTCCCGAGAGAGCCCCGAGAGGCCAGCATCTTCGATTTAACAAAAGCTGTTGAAGGAATTTGGGGTTCTCGTATTTTCGGCTTTCCCACGCTCCAAGATGGCTCAAGAAGCTCCCAAGACCGCCCCTAAGACAGTCCAAGACGCCTCCAAGAGGGTCCCAAGACAGCCCGAAAGGCCTCCAAGATGGCCCAAGAAGCCCTCCGAGAAGCCCCGAGAAGCCCACAGGAGGCCCCACGAGGCCCCGAGAGGCACCCAAGACGCGCCGAAGAGGCCTCCAAGAGGCCCAAAAGATACCCCACGAGGCCCGAGAGGCGCCAAAACCGCCTCCAAGAGGCGCCCGAGAGGTTCCCCACGACGCCCGAACACGTATACAAGAGGCCTCATACCCACAACCCACACACACGGTGGCGGGATAGGCCGAAGGCCACGAGGATCCGCCGCCCCCTGTCGATTCATCACAGGGGTGCCTGGCGTGCTGAACCCTCTCGGTTTTGGTTTGGGTTCTGTTTCCAACAGAATTCCCCAATGGGCTTCGGCCCGACCCGCCGGCCACCCGCAGATCGCCCAATTCCCGGAAAAATCCTCCTAGACGGCTCAAGATGGCGTCCAAGGTGGCCACGTTGGCCCAAGATGGCCTCCAAGATGGTCCAAGATGGCCTCCAAGTCCGCCCAAGATGGTCCAAGACGGCCTCCAAGATGGCCCAAGAGAGTCCAAGACGGCCCAAGAGGCCCCCCAGAGGCCTCCAAGACGGCCCAAGAGGCCTCCAAGAGGTCCTCCAGGAGGGCCCGAAGAGGCCAAAATCATTGATTTTCATAAGCTTTTGAAGGATTTGCGAATTTGCTTCTTCTCGGCATTCCGACGGCTTAAGACGGCCACAGAGGCCCCCAAGATCGCCCAAGAGGCCCCCAAGAGGGCCCCATGCGGCCCAAGTGGCCTCCAAGACAGCCCCAAGAGGGCCCCAAGACGGCCCAAGAGGCCTCCAACACGCCCAAGATGGCCGCCAAGACGCCCACGATGGCCTCCAAGACGGCCCCGAAGCGCCCCAAGAGAGCCCCAAGTCGACCCAGAACGGCCCCCAAGACGGCTCCCGACGGCGTCAGACGTGCCAGGAACCCACCAGGATGGCCGAAGTTGGCTCGAAGCTGACCCAAGACGGCCCAAGAGGCCCCCAAGAAGGCCTCCAGGAAGGCCAGAAGAGGCCAAAAACATGGATGGTCCTAAGGTATTTTACAGATGTTGACATTTGCTTCTTTTCGGCCTTCCGACGGCCCAAGAGCCCCCAAAGATCGCCGAAAGATAGCCCAAGAGGCCTCCAAGATGGCCCCAGAACGGCCCAAGAGGGCCCCAAGACGGCCCCCAAGACGGCACAGGAGGCCTGTAAGACGGCCAAGATGGCTTCCAAGACGGCCCTGGAGCATGCCAAGCAGGCGCAGGTACACGGGCCTCCTCGCTCGACCGCTTGCTGGAGGTGTCTGGGATGCAGTGGGTTTTTAAGGATCCCTCGGGACACGAGCGGTCTTGGCCGCGCCTGGGACAACGTGTCTCAGTCCCCCTCCATTCGACCCCGCCTCCACCCCATGATAGCTGCCTGGGTTTGGGGGTCTTTGCGTCATTCAGACCTTTTTGGGATGTGGGGACAGGGAGGGGAAGAGGAGGGAGGAGACACGGCTAACCCACGCCCCCTCGGGGGTGCCCCCTCCAGCGTCGATAGGGGTGGTAGGTCCTTGCTCCCTGGTCTTGGGCCTGCGGTTTCGCGATCGGGCGGGCCTATCGCCGGCAATCTTGGCCAGTCCGGGGGCGGGAGTGCACAAAGCCCCCCGCCTCACACTCACCATGGGGCGGTTGGGTCTCCGGACCTTTCCCCAGGTGACGGGGCGGGGAGTGGAACCGGCGACGCCCTTGGTCCAGGCGCGCCGTTAGTTGATGACGTTCCATTGGGCCCACAGGCATCGCGCGTGTTGGACCCATCGACACCGGTAGGTGGTACTAGGTGCCAGTGGAGGAACGTGCGCCGCAGAGAGCATAATAGGAAAGCTAGGAAGAGGGCGAGAGCTAGGAAACGATCGTTAGCGTGTAGGAACCTAGAGCTGCTAATTACGGCGGTGTAAGAAAAAAAGCGGGTTTTTCGTCGTATTTCGGGGGGGACTTGGAACACCCGGAGGTTTGGAGCAGGAAACCAGGCCATGAACCAGGAGTTCAAGGCGGAGTGCCGGTTCACATTGATGAACGTCCGGCACTGGCAATTTTGCCTGCTTTCAGACTTGGATTTTTCGAAAAACGGGGTCCGGGAATATGAGTATGGGGGTGTTAAGTGGGTGTTGGTTATCAGAGGAAAGGTGGGGATTGCTCTGAGGGAGGGATTGGCAAGGGAATGGAGGGCAGGGGGGGAGAACGTGGTGGTGAAAGGGGGGCAGGAAAGGAAGAGTGCCCGATGTGTGGCTGTCACGATACCTCGGGCGGGGCGTCGTCGAGGCCTTACTCTCGTTGCGGCCTACGCCCCTTGTTCCGGCCCCAAATACGCACGTGCTCTTGAACGCTTTTA